CAAATGGTAGATCTACTTGTATCATTTTGAGGTATCTCCATATTGCTTTCCACAGAGGTTGAACTAGTTTGCAGTCCCACCAGCAAGTCTTCCTATCTCTCCACATCCACACCAATATTTATTGTTTGGGGACTTTTTTATAAAGGCCATTCTCACTGGAGTTAAGTGATATCTCATTGTGGTTTTGATTTGCATTTCCCTGATGATTAGAGATGTTGAGCATTTTTTCATATGTTTGTTAGCCATTATTCTGTCTTCTTTTGAGAAGTTTCTATAGTTTTTAGTGGATCAGGAAAGAAAGACAGTTGTCAATAAGTCTTTCCTTGTACTCGGCAACACCATGTGTCTCCAATAACACAGCACGCTGTCTCTGTGCTTAGTAAGTTGTTATAAAGAGGGAAGGGTGTCTTTGGATATAAGAAACCTAATCCCTAGTTGGAGTCAGTATGCAAACTCCCAGCACTGGAGTTTCTTTCAGTAAAATGAGAATGCTGGACACCCTCATGCAGGAGGCAGGATGGAGAGTGGAGAAAGACAGACTCACCTGGGTTCACATTCTGGTTCTACCATTTGCCACTCTTATACCTTGGGCCACATTTCCAGTATTTCTAAAATTAGGCAAATAATACTGATCTTGTAAAGATATTTGGGATAAAAGGTAGTATACACAGAGCATCAGATTTTTCATAGGTACTTAATCAACAGTAGCTATTATTATTAAACCTCTTATTGTGTGTGTTAGAAACTCATTCCTGTGAGTGCCTATCTTTTGGAAAACTGATGTTTTCTTTACAGTAATAGCTCCTATTATCTTTAGAGAGTTATGAATGCAAAAATGAATCTAAATTCAATTTTTTCCCTATTTGGAATTCAGTTTAGCCAATAATTTTTGAACTCTAGATATGTTTATTAAGTGTATTTTGTGCCAGGCAGTGTGCTAAGTGCTGGGAATAGAAGGATGACTGGGTGCCTCTGTCTACCAAGTGTTGTTAATTCTAGTGGAAGGTCAGAGACAGAAACAGAATATTTCAATGCAATTTGATCAGTGCTATGTACAGGTGGTAGGCAGTGCTGATTGTCTTCCTAATAATAGTTTTCTCTTCTTTATAGTTGACCCAACCCTGACTTTGTTTAGTCTGGCAGGTTGTCCAGCTAAATTCTCCCCTCTCTAGGGTCCCTTCATGCTAGGTGTGGCTGTGTGACTGAGATCTGACCAATAGGGCACACACACAGAGATCTGATGGGGATTCCAATAGTGTTGTAGCCCTGATAAATGGGGATTATCCCAGGGGACACTGCCCTTCTGCGTTTTCCCTGTCTGGAACCTGAGTGTAATGCTCAAGGATGCAGCAGCCATTTTGTGATCAAGAGAGAGATGAGCATGAGGGAGAATGTAAGAGAATTCCAGAGATGCTAGCTCTCATGCCCTGAGCTACTGAACCAATGCCACCTGCTCCTAGCTCCAAAATCATGTTATGTGAGAAAAATACACCTTTATTTGTTTGAGCTACTATAAGGCAAGTTTTCTGCTACTTGCAACCAAAGAGATTCCTAAATGTCTATAGGCAGGAGGAAGAGGGGTCATATTGTTCCCATAATACTAAGCAGCTGGGAGGAAGCAGTCCCTACAACCAGAAAATCCGCCCTCTCGTGGATGGGAAGAGTGTTGGGCAAAAAGCCATTCAGCATACATAGTGAGTGAGATGTGCACCATCTGGGGGATGGTCATGATGGAGACTCAGACTTTTGGGGGGAGGGGGGGAAATGGGCATTTATTGAAACCTTAAAATCTGTACCCCCATAATATACCAAAATAAAAAAAAAAAAAAAAAAAAAAAAAAAAAAAAAAAAAAAAAAAAAAAAAAGCCATTCAGCAATGAATTTCTCATCCATCACCTACAGTTTGGAACACTCAGGGTACAATCCAGAGGGGAAAAACAAAACTTGGATGAGCCTGTCTCCTGAGAAATTTTAGTTTAATTGGAGACATATTCCCATACAGTGTTCCACACAATCAGTCACAACGTCACCCGAGTGACCTCGTGTGCTCAGGGACCTCGGTCAGGAACTCACGGTTCCCTCTGACTTAGATCACGCCAGAGCCATACAGAGTCCACATTTTAGGTTAAACCCGTGCTGTGTTTTCCAGAAGCAGGGCCTTGGAAACCCTGACCATGGCCAGATTCACAGATATGTGGCTGCCAAGACTAACAGACTGGTAGACAGTCTTTTTGCTGCCCTCGCAAACTCCCAAAGAGATACCTGCTTTTTCCAGTAATTCACTTCTCTCTCCCTGTCTCACCCTTTTCTTTTTTGGGCACAAGTTGAGAATCTCACAGATGGCTTTGGGGAAAAATAACTGCTTGTTCTCAAACATGCTGTTGGGAGACACAGTCCTGCTCCCTCCCGCCCTCTTGCACAGTTCCTGGCCTGCCTTGGCCCTGTCTCCAGGAGATCATGACGCTGCAGCCTCGCTCTGCAAGTCCCCATACCTTCCAGCAGTCGGGCTGGCTGCCGGGGCTGCTGGCATTTACATTCCTCTTCTAAGTAGCTTGGCACACAGGAGACTTTGCTTCTCTGTTCTGAGCCTGGCTTTTAATTGCTGGATGAAGAGAACATTCAGCTTTGTGCCTAGGAACCCGCAGACCTCAGGGAGCCCTTCCACATCTTCCTCTCATGTCTACCTGTAATCGATGAGGTGTGGCACAGCATGCAAAACAAACAGCCACAGAGTGAGCTGCTTTAAACTAGAGGCCCATTCGTGGGGAGATGAGGAGGCTCAGTTAGGTGCCCATGGAGTGTAGGTTGGCATTGAGGACTGGAGAAGAAACCTTAGTGCAACCATGAAGATGCTGTGTTTATGTTCCAAAATAAGGACAAGCACAGTTTGAGTTCCCAGGTTTAGTTGTGGTGGATTCCAGGCAGGTGAGGAGACCAGGAACTGTAAGCAAATTGCTTAGAAGAGGCTCATGCAGATGTCAATAAAGAAAATAACCATTTGGATAAAAGACAAGTAACAGCTGATATTCAGAACAGACTAGGTATATGTTAAAATGCGGTCATGTCTTTGGGTTTACAAAGGCCCTGAAATAAGTGGAAACTGTCTCAGACACTCATTACTGCCTCTGCCTTAAACTTTGTGTATCTTACTGAGTCTGTTTCTTCACTGGTAACTGGGGGATAAATATATAAGTTTTTCTCATAGGATTGTTTTGAAACTGACATGAATCGATATCCTCAGAAGAACTTTATAATCTGTATTATTTCTCACAAGTTTAATTTTCTTTTCATTCTTTTCTTATTTTTATTTTTTATTAAGATATAGTTGACAAATAAAAATTATATGTTTATAGTATACAGCATGTTTTGATATGTGTATTGTGAAATGACTAAATTGAGCTTATTAATATATCCATAACCTCACATACTTAGCATTTTTTAATGTGAGAACATTCAGGATCTACTCTCTTAGCAATTTTCAAGCCAACAATATGCTATCAACTATAATCACCATGCTCTGGAACTTATTCAACCTTACTAAAACTTTGTATCCTTTGACCAACATCACCAGTCTTGTCTGGTGCTCGGTTTTACTAAGGTGGGCCCAGTGCTGGAGTCTGAGTCATTGTCCCATGCTCTTCACTCTTCCCCCATTCAGAGAGTATCTCTCTTTGTGCTGTGCTGCATGGGCTTGAGGGAGGAGTGATGCAGGTAAGGTGAACCTGTCCTTTCCTGCTCTGTTTAATGCTTTCCTTATTTCTGTGCTACATTCAGCTGCTGTAATCTCTGATCTGTTTTCCTTAGTTCACGTGAAGGTATTTTCATGCATGAGTAATTATTTAAATTGATGTTTTTGTGAGAGAATGAGCATTGGAAAGCCCTATTCTGCCATCTTGCTGACATCACTTTTTTTCTTTTATTTAGTAAAGCACTAGAATCTTTACCTAGGAACCAAAAGCAAACAAGAAAAGTAGGTCACAAAATAAAAAGCAGAAAGGCAGAGCTCAGAGAAGGACATGTCACTACTTCCTTTTAAGCATTACTAACATTTAGGGTGGGGTGGAGGCAGAGCTGCTTCAAATAGCTAGCCTGTGATGCATTTGGTTACCTTTGCCTTTACAGATGTTTAGGGAACCAACTCTGCTTGCAGAATTTAAAGGTAAATAGTTATATTTCTTTCCTCTCTATTATTACTGAAAACTCACCACTTGCCCCAAGACTGTATCAGAAGAACAAGGACAAATTGTTGAAGAAAATGAAAGAGGAGTTTATTAATTTGCCAGCAAATGAGGAAAATGGCAGATTCATGCCTTAAAGTACCAATTTTCCTAACTATAGGCACAAACACAGAGTTTTTAAAGGGAGTGTTTTCAGCTTCAGGCTATTTCTGTTTAACTATAGATGACGGTTCTGATCCAACCTGTCTTTGGCAAAGAAAATCTCTTGTGACCTCTACTTGTACAATTCCATCGAGCCATTTCCTGCAGTACATAGAACAAAAACACTCCCTTGACCCTCCTGACCACTGGCCTGCGACAGAGATGTAGGCTTTAATTCTCAAAAAGAGTGGGGGATGTTTTAAAAAGGCAGAATACATCTTTATCCTTTTCTAGGCCATTCCCTCTGTTCCATATTAGGACTATCATTTGTTTTTTGTACCATAGGAGACGACTTAACAGAATTGCCCAGGATGAGGTACAGGAGGTCCGGGCAGGTGGAGGTCATGAGAGATTGTCTTCGCCAAGATGAGATCGATCAAAACCATTAACTATAGTTAAACAACAAATACCCTAAAGCTGAAAACCCTCCCTTTAAAAGTTCTGTGTTTCTGCTTATGATTAGGAAAATGACATTTTAAGATAGGAGTCTCCATTCTCCGCATTTGCCAGCAAATTAATAAACTAATTTTTCCTTTTCCTCAACCACTTGTCCTCATTCTTCTAATATGGTCTCGGGGACAAGTGCTGAGCTTTTGATAACATTATCTTTCCTTTGGAAAGGAGCCTAGAATCCAGAGACAAAAACAGAGACAACAGGACATCACAGAATGGGAAGGCACACCCTCTTGGAAATCTGCAGCTACATAGCCCTAGAACTTCATTTTAGGGCTTCAGATGGTAAGTGCACATGGCTTTAATCCTTTGCACTCGCTTGCTTTTTTCTCAATTCCTTTATTCTACTTGGGATTTAATTTTTTAAATACCCCAGATTTTACAAAGCGTGGCAGTAAAATAAAAAACTGGAGTTTCTTTTCATATGAACTTATTTATTTGGATTTTTTTACATTTCAAATTATCGATACATTCAAAGAGTAATTTTAATCTCTATAATTTTTGCTAACCGTGTCGAGTCACACTTGACATCCGAGTGCAAAGGGTTAATGTTCATCAATATCTAGTTCCCCTCCAGTTCCAGATACACAGGGACTGTGATCCCCTGTTCCTCGAGGTCAGGCATTGCCTAGATGTGACTAGAGATGGCTAATGAAATGTGAGCAGGAGCGACACATGTCTCTTACAGTTCCTGTCATTGGTGTGGGATCTCCTGCTCTCTCTCACTGCCAAGCCTTCTAAAGGGGCCATGTGCTTCAGATCATGTAACAGTGGGTGAGGAGTAGAGGGGAGGAGAGATAAGAGCCTCTGAAAGCCTGGATTGCAGAGTCATCACAGGTGGGGACAGTTGCCATGGAGAGTATCCTGAACTGCAGAGGATTTTTGTGTAGGAAGTAAATCTTTGTGGTATTGAGTGGTGTAGTACAGCAGCATAATCCAGCCTATGCTGAACAGTAGAGATACATGGAGGTAAGAATTTTGCTCTTCTCTTGGTGGCTTTCCTTGCACTTTGCCCACTTCTAAGCAGCCAAACCACTACAGAGTTTCCCACTTCTCTTGTTTTTTCTCTTTCCCAAATCCAGAATAGCAGATGTGTGGAGGGTTTCAGCAGTTGGAACCAAAAGGAAGAAATAACTACTCCTTTCTCTTCAGAATTAGTATTGCCACATAAGTGGTTTGCACTCTGGTGGTCTCTACAGATTCCAGGTTTTTGTTCTCAGGTACTTCCCCCATTTCACACCAGCCCACTCCAACCTTATTCTAAGGCTCCAACTCTCTGAACAGAGCAGTGAAAAGAGAGGAAGTGGCATCCACAGGAGCCCAGACCCCCCACAGAGGCATAAGGCATTATAACCACTTCAGGAGGTCTGTGATGCTCTCTGGAAACTAGCAGACCTGATGTGTGCCGCCCACACACACACACACACCAGGCTACAGCAGAATCAATGCAGCCACAGAGACTCTGCAGAGCTATTTCCTGGCAAGGGATAATGAATGTGGTTTGGTCTCCTCCCACCCCCTGAGCATTAAAATAGGATATCTCAAATGACTTAGAAAGGAAATGTGCCTGAAAGGTACTTTAAATTGTTTCTGTGGGCTTGTGTGCCATCTATCTTCATGCCACATTTTCCTCAAGTATACTCCAGCCCTGAGGCTTTCAGAATTTGTGTCACAATCTCCATATACACATGATTTTGGTTTTTATTTGACTGGGTATAATCATAGATTAATATAGTTTTCCATAGCATTTATTTAGAAACCTATTACCACATTTCAAAAACACTGTAAAATGTAATAGTTAAATGTTGTACACTAATTAACTAAAATACATTAGCATTTAAAAATATGTCCAAATCTAAAAATGGAGTCTTTACAATATATTATCAAAACATACCTTCCCAGGATAGTTCTGACCCTTTATTACTTTCTTTTTTTTAACTGTACAACAGGGATAATGATAAGAAGTGCTAGAGTGTGCCACCATATCTAAGCCATTGGCTGTTAAGAAGTATTGATGTCATTACACTAGTCAAATATAGACAGAAAGTCAATAGAACCTATTTAAATAACCTTCAACTTTGTGATTCTTATTAATCCAAGAGATGGAAATATTTGGTCAGCTTCATTTCATTTGAACTTACTCTATTTAATAAGTTTTAAAGGTTTTTCTGCCTCCTGTTAACTAAATTACATTTCTTAATTTCTAGTACAAAATCCTAACTTCACATTTCTAATCTGAGTGAAGAAAATATAACTAGAAGTCGAAGAAAAGGTAACATTCTAAACTCCAATTGAATCTAATTTTCCATTAGATACGATAAATCAATATCGATTGTGATATTGAGCACAACTACTGTGGTAGGGTTCTTTCCTCTCTATTATTACTAAAAGCTCACCACTTGCTTTATGATGAATTGGAAAATACAAATGTACATTTCTGTGTCAAGTCTTCACTTACTCAAATCTCATGTGTAGATATTCAACTCTGACTCTTTAGGGTCAAATCCAGGAGAAAATTATAATACAGATATTGAGTTAAAACACAGATTTGGGGCACTCTATTGATATAATTTGGATTTTTGTCCCTTCCAAATCTCATGTTGGAATTGGCTCTCCAATGTTAGAGGTAGGGCCGGGTAGGAGGTGTTTGGGTCATGAGGCTGATCCCTCATAAATGGCCTGTCACACTCCTTGCGCTAATGAGTGAGTTCTCACTCTATTAGTTCATGTGATAGTCCATTGTTTAAAAAGCTTGGCACTTCTCCACGCTCTCTCTTGCTCCCTTCTCACCATATGACACACCTACTCCCTCTTTGCCTTCTGTCATAATTGTAAGCTTTCTGAAGCCCTCACCAGAAGCAGATGCTGGCACCACGCTTTTTGTACAGCCTGGAGAAGCATGTGCCAAATAAAGCTCTTTTCTTTATAAATTACTGAGCCTCAGGTATTTCTTTATAGCAATGCAAAATGTACCAAGACACCCCTTTTCAGCTGAGTTCAAACAGCTCTCATGGTCTTGATAGGAAAGCTTGCAGGGACATGGCTGGACAAGATTTGGCCTGAGGTAGCTGGATCTAAGTTGCTATCACACACAGAACTGGAAATTGCTTAGTTCATTATGAATTCTCAAATATCTCAGTGTAGGTATCTTTTTGCTTGGAGCTGCCAGTTGAGACTAAGAAAGCCCAAAGGGACTCTGGAATCTGTGAAATGATTTTAAGCTTAAGGAGAAGCACCCAACTTAAGCTGGATAGGCATCAAGTACAATAATAGAAGATATCTCAACCTCTGTTCCTCTCAGAGTTAGCCAAGATTAGTACTTGTCTGAAGGCTCTGAAGGAAGGACTGTCTAGTTTGTCTCAGTAGAAGAATTGGTTTTGAAACTGTGACCTTTGGAGGCAATTGAGGCTAAGGGAGGAAAAGAAAATTAGAAAGTTCTCATGAATATAGCCATTCCTATTCCTCCTATTAGATTCCCTTACATAGATGCCCATCCATGAGATTGTTTCTTCCACTGTTTTATTTTTCAGCATCATAGATTGATATATTTGTTTGAAAAACTTATTAGCAGTGTGCTGCCAATTAGTCTTTGAATGTTTAAAAAATAGTGCAGGGGAATAAAAGTAATGTCTTTTCCTCTTTCATCACAAGGTTTATGGGTGAGGTACCTATAATAAAACACAGGTTAACAAAAGTATACAAATTTATCAATTAATAAGTGTTATGTGACATGGAACCTTCAGAAATAAAGACCTGGAGAAACAGGGAAACCTGTGTATTTTTATGGTTAGGTTTGATGAAGAGTGGACAGTCATGCAGAAGTATGATTGGACAAAGGTGGTAGAATCTAATGGTAACACACTGGGGGAGGGGACTTAGCAAGGCCTGTTTGTTCAGATTTTTTATATGTTTCTGTGTCTTTAGGATATTCCTTTCCTCCAAGAATAGGGGGATCACCTTTCATACAAAGATCTTGTTACCTATTTTAGAGGAAGGTCAGAGAATTCTTTTATGGCCTACTTCAGAGGAGAACGGCAAGAGACTGTCAGGGAGACCTTTCTGCTTATGCTGTTTTCTAAAATACTGAGGTGCCATCTTTTGGGGTAGCATGTCCTGAATGCCATCAATATCCTTAAGGAAAATTCTTAAGAGCACTCCACACTAAAATTTTATAGATTTGAAAAATTTTCCATTGACTTATTCCATTGAGCATTACTACTGGATTGGAATAACATTTTAAAGTAAGTATGCCAGTTAATACAGGATAAGTTGTGCTTGGTAACAAACAATTCTAAAATTTTAAAGGTTTAAAACTCTTGCTCCCATTCTATGTCCGTTGTGGGTTGGCTTGTAGGGTGGGTGGGTGGGAAAGGAGGATGTATTCTATGTTGTCTTCTGTCCAAAACCAGGATAGGGTTGGCTACATGTCCACACAACCAGAATGTCAAGTCAAAATGAAAAAAGAAAAAAGGTGGGTGGGAAGAAACAATACAAGGATCAAAGGAACAAGGAAGATCACACAGTGATCACACAGTGAGTGATTCTTAAAGCTTTCTCTTAGAAGTGACACACATCACTTCTGCTCTCATTTCATTGGCCAGAGATACTTATATGGCTATGCCTAACTTTAAGGGGTAGTGAAATGTAACCTTATCAACGTCCAAGAAGAAAAACTAAAAATATTTGGTGAACAACATTAATGACCATTATACTGAACTTTAATTAATGCTAATCCCAATAGTTGCTGAAGTATATTTTAATTAAGAATTTATGTGTCAAGTCCTTGTGTCTCACAGAGACATCTAGACTTGGACTTGTACTCCTGGTAAATTGGTCCCTTCATAGGCATGAAAATAAGTTTAGATGTAGCAGCAAAGTTTAAAGGGGCACATGAGTAGCCAGCCAGATGGAGTATCACTCCTTAGGGTGCATATTGAGAAGAGGCCAAGGAATAAAGCTAGTATAAGAAAGCACTCTAGGATAGTAAAAAAGAAGACAGGAGTTGAAGTCAGACCAGTTTTAATCTCTAACTTTGAAATTAACTGGATGAATAATAATGTATACATTGTTGATTCTCTAGAAGCTTTAGTTTTCCTACCTGGAAGATAAACAATCAAATGGATTTTATATACAAAGTACTTTGTGTCTCATAAGCACTACATGACTATCATACAAAACAAGAATATATTATTCTCAACCCTGGGCATGTCTGAGCTCTGTCCAGATTTTAATGAATCCCTGGTTCTGTCTCAGAAAATGGAATTACTATTTGGCATAGTACCAAACCATATCATTTTTATATAAGTCAGCAACTCTAATTTTAAATCTATAAAATGTAATACTAATAAAAATGATATTTTATAATGCTTTCCAGAATTATTTCACGCCATAACACCCAAAGCCCATATCAACTGCCATCATTGAAAGATAAAAAGATCCAAAGAAACTGGGTGAATAATAAAATAACGGAGCACAAGACAAATCCTGAATAAGAAACAAACACATAGAAAATGAAGCCTCCTTCGAAGAAGGCAAAGGACAAAAAAAGTGAGAGCAATATGTAAGTTTCTGTATCTTTACACCTGATGTTATAACACTATAAGCCTATACACTATGTGCAACCTCTGTTTCTTATATCACACATTTTGAATATTTAGGGGTTCTTAAAAGCTCATAAAAAATATTATTATGAGCTTAGTAACTATAAATTTAGGTTTTGGAAAATGTTTATAATTTATAAAGCTGAAAGTTTTCCTTTCCTTTCTTCTTTCTCTCCCTCACCCTCTTTATTCTTTCTACATTTATTAAGTACAGCTGCTCTGTGTTGTGTAGAGTATTGATATTAGGAATATCAATGTACTTAGAATATTTTCCCTGCCCTAGAACAATGCAGAAGCTAAAGATTGTAATGAGGTGGAGGCTGTAATACAAGTATAAATAAAATGCTATAGGAGCAGGAGGCTGAGGCAGGAGGATCACTTGAGCCCAGGAGATTGAGGTTGCTGTGAACTAGGCTGATGCCACGGCACTCTAGCCCAGGCAGCTGAGTGAGTCTCTGTCTCAAAAAAAAAAAAAAAAAAAAAATCTATAGGAGCAAGAAAAAGAAAGTAACTTTGCTTAGGGAAGTTAGGAAAAGATTCACAGAGAAGGTGGCATTTTAGTTTAGATCACATAAAAGGCGGGAAGAGGATGTCTAGACAGAGAAAACAGCTTGTACTAAAGCACAAAGATGAGCCTTATGCATCTGGGACATTAAGTGATTTAAAGTAGTTAAAATACAGGATATTTGTGGCAAGTAGAGATTACAAAGATAGGCAAAATCTGACCATGTTGTTCTTTGTAGGCTAACAAATTTGTGGGATATCTCAAGTGGTCTTTAAATAGGCTGATGCTAATAGTGTTGTTTACTAAATGCCCACATTACCTGCAAATAGAAAAAACACTTTCCCTCTCAAGTTCACAAATTTGTGAATTACTATATTAATCTGTGAGTTGGTATCTAAAATTAACTCCTCACTTTGGCTCAACCACATGATCCAGATTATCTTCACAAAGTAGAAAATCTCCTGTCTTGATCTTCAAGTAACTTCATAAACAATATTGGTCATATTCAGGGAACCTAGTCTATGCACACAGTATTTTAACTCCAAAGCATTTGAGCGCAATTCATTTGTTGGAATTATGCTTGACTTTCATGTAATCACCACAAACATCAACACAGGGAATGTCTTTGAGATTTTTCCATTGTGTAACTCAGTGCTAAAAGCTTTCAAAATGAATTAAGCTGAAATTTGTTTTCTCTTTCCCATATAATCTAAGTTTTGCCAATAGCCCTAAGTGCTGAACAAGTTAATTTTTAATAGTCAAAAAGTCAAAGGTTCTGTGGCCTTAACTTTTCAGAATCAGTTCAACTTTGTTGCAAGTTATGATAATAAAGACCTTTGGGAAAAAGTAAGCATAAACTAATGATCATGATCCAGATGTATTAGCAAGCTGGAAACATTTTATTCATAGTAGCTGGATGCTTTAAAATAAAACTCAGTAATACATGTAATCTTGTCTGTAAGCATAAGATTTACAAATTTATGCCAGCTTTATAGACTAGAATATGCTTCTGGTAGATTTAAATTTAATATAAACTATAGTATTGGGTATTTTATTTGGGCATGCACCATAATCTTGATTGACTATATGATTAAGACTTTTAATATGTACTCTATTATTTTCATTAAAAATGAATAAGACCACTAAGATGGGTAGTGCCTTCTAAGTGAAATATCTGATGACCGTCCTTGGATTCTAATGTCTCTGGGATATTACACCAGGTTCCATGGAAGGGTAAATAAAAAGCAAAGCTTGGCCGGGCGCTGTGGCTCACGCCTGTAATCCTAGCTCTTGGGAGGCCGAGGCGGGCGGATTGCTCAAGGTCAGGAGTTCAAAACCAGCCTGAGCAAGAGCGAGACCCCGTCTCTACTATAAATAGAAAGAAATTAATTGGCCAACTGATATATATATAAAAAATTAGCCGGGCATGGTGGCGCATGCCTGTAGCCCCAGCTACTCGGGAGGCTGAGGCAGGAGGATCGCTTGAGCCCAGGAGTTTGAGGTTGCTGTGAGCTAGGCTGACGCCACAGCACTCACTCTAGCCTGGACAACAAAGTGAGACTCTGTCTCAAAAAAAAAAAATAAATAAAATAAAATAAAAAGCAAAACTTGATTTAGTGAGTAGAGAGGGAACACTTGAAAGTGAAGTTTTAGTTGAATACAGGCCAGAGCCAGATCATACTGCTGCATGATGATAACATAAGGATTAATCTAATTTTCTCTTATTTCTATAAGGTTTTTGTTTATTTCACCTTTACCCTGTCCATATTAAACTTTGGTCTCTACTGGCCACAGCTGAAATGTAAAGAGGTTAATTCTTAGCATTTAAAACTCAAAAGGCTTGAATTCTGGTTGACATATAGATTAGAAAAATAACTTTGCTAGTCAGTTCAATCATCACATCCCCACCCCCCTAATCCCAGACATGGGAAAAACAGGTAAAGACTCTAAGGTGAGGAGAGAGCACTTCTGAGGTGAGTTGAGTTTTTCCCATGGGGACATTTGCTGAATCCTGGAAATTTTGCCTTTTGGAAAATTTAACCAAGTGAAGGCATGGTCTACAGATTGGGCTTGGTTTATGCATTGAGCCACTTCCAGGGAGAAAGAGAAATTAGCAAAAACTTTGTTTGTTTGTTTATTTGTTTTAGCCATTGTAGGAGGCTGGTGAGGCAAATTGGAAACTTTAGGGGATTCTCAAATACATTGCTAATTTACCACATGTGACATTGGCACAATTCTAGACATCTGTAGCAGCACTGAAGATTGGAAAGGTAGTCTAAAAGCTTCAAAAAGGCAAAGTGAAATCTAAAACATACCAAGGGGGGTGGGCCTGCCTTAGGGCACTCCATTAGTCTCTAAATCAAGACATTTGTTAGACTGTTCGGGTGCCTGTAATGCCAGGTTGAAGAGCTGTGCTGGAAATGTATGAACGACAGAGCTGGAAGTTCTGAAGTTTTTCAGAGCGGTGGAGAAGGAGACCAATCAGGCTCTCAGTCAAAAGCTTTGGATGGTTATTCCCAAGAAGAACACAAACAGATGTATAGTGAGACCAGCAATCTACAGCTGAGCTCTAACCTGGGTCAATTTCTTACTGTATAAAATGACCAGCCTCTTACCTGACCTACATAACACAGGAAAGGGAAAACCCTCTCTAGTTGAAGATAAACATCATTTAGATCCTCTTTATTTCTTTTATACTTAATGTCTGACACACAACAAAATATTACTATACATTCAAAAATACAGGAAATACTTTTAATGATCAAGAGAAAAAAGATGGAAAATAGTAGAAGACTAATAAACGATTCAGATAGCAGAGTTATCAACCAAGGCCTTTGAAATAACAATGATTAATATATTAAGTAAATTAGAGAAAAAGATTGAAAGAATAAATGAAGGTATGGAAAAATTCTTCAGAAAATTGTATTCTGTGAAATAAAAAGAAATAAACAATCTAGAATTGAAAAATACAATCTCTAAAATTAAGAACTCAATAGATGGATTTAAGAGTAGATTAGAAAGAGAAGTACACAGGGCAAGTGAGTTGAAAAACAACTCAATAAAACACATAAAATTAAGAATATAGAAAAAATTAGATGAAAATATGAATAGAGATATATGGGTTGATCCAACAGTCTAGTATACAAATAATAAGAGTCACAGAAGGAAAAGGAAAGAAAATAGGTAGAATCACTCTGTTTTCTAAACTTATGAAAGATCTTAACTGAGGGATTCAAGAAGCTCTGGGAACCCAACATGAAGATAAACAAACAAAATGTATATCACAGCATCTTCCAAAAATCAAATACAAAGAGAAAAACTTGGTACTTTAAAAACACTTAAAAATAAAATCTAAATTCTCAAAAGAAATGATAGAAACTAGCAGATAATGAAATGATATCTTTAAAATGTTGAAAGACCTATATTTTATACACAAAATTATTATATTCTTCAAAATGAAGATAAATATAGTTTTAATTAAAGAAAAAATAAGAGAATTTGGCACTAAGAGGTTCATCTTTATAAAATTAAACGGACTTCCTTCAGGTAGAAAAAGGATTCCAAATGAAACATGGAAATATAGGAGGGAGTTTTGAACTCTAGGGGAGTAAATATATGGATAAATAAAAATAACTATTGACTATATGTATAAAATATGAATTGTAATGTCATATACTTATATATAATATATATTATATATGAAAAACAACTGAATTATAATGGAAAATATCAAAAATTGTAGCTAATGCAATGATTAGAGAGAAATTGCAATACTACAATTTTAAAATGTTATGTTTTTATTTTAATTCAGTTCAAAAAATTTTTAATTTATACTTTAATTCCATTGAGGTCAGAGAATATGTACATATATTAGAAAGAAGAAAGACTGAAAATCAATTATTAAAACAATCCAAGAAACTAGAGAACAAAAAGCATATTAAAACTAAGGAAAACATAAGGAAATAAATAAAAAGAATAGAAATAAAAAATAAAATTAAAAAAGAGAAAAATCCACAAAATTAAGGGTTGATACTTTGATAAGATTGATAAAATTGATAAAGTTATAACAAGAGGGGAGGGGGGTCAAGATGGCAGACTAGAAGTGCACAGGCCACTCTTATGGAGAGGACTGAAAGTGGCAAGTGGGTATTCATATTCAGATCAATCATCTAAGAGAGAACATTGGGAATCAACAGAGAGGTGATAGGAGGTTCCCAAAGTGAAAAAGAGGGAAGAGAGGCAACTGCTCTGTGGGATCAGTGGTATCTGGGGAAGGCAATGCATGTGAGGAATGGACACAGGAAAGAATTCCAGGGTTCCACATTTCCCCCATGGTCATTACTATCTGAAATGGGGGAGGGATCCTCTACCATAGCACGCCACAGGACTGACATAGGGAATAGATTGGAGACTGTGCAGCAGTATCGCTCTAGAGAGAAAGTACAGTGGAGACCC